ATGGCATCTACTTCAAGTGCACCTAATGCACCTCCATCCCTTTAGGAGGCTACCAATGTGCTACATTAGATCAGTGAAGTCTTCGAGGACATTCCCCTTTATGCATTCAACGAAAGTGTTTGAGGGCGTTTAATAAGAGGGAGATATTCATGGCTATGGTTCCTGGGTGGAGGATTCATTAGCTTTCTTACTATTTTGAAAACAAGGATGTATAACATATTAGGAAAAAGAAATAAAAATTTTTTGCATATTATTGTACCTGACTATTTTTTCATATTTGCTTGTACAGTCTTGATTTATTAGCCATTGTTGTGCATTTGTTCACTAATATTTAGCTTGTATTATTGTATTTAATTTATTTTATAATATGTGTCCCAGAGTAGATCAGAAGATGATTGTAACTTTTTAAATGGGTTGATGACTATGAGGACTCCACTTCAGACAGTGACCGCATGTTGAGAAAATCTTTAAAGAGAAAATTATCCTAGAAAATTGATCACTTGAACACCAAAAGTAAATTAATGATAACATAATTTTAATTTTTTGTTACTCATTGTTAAGTGATGTGTAACTTTTGATGTAAGTTGTAAGACTTTTGACTTTCTGTATTGGAAGAGTTCTCGTGTTCGTTTTGAAATCATGATGAAACAGCTAACTTATAGCTAACGCATATATACAAGGGCATTAGTCTCTTTTTGTCATAAACAATCACCACACAACAGCTGAACATCAAAACAAACATTGATTCATCAACTGCGACTGCCCCAAAACAAACCCTTAGTAAAAAAGGAGAATACAATTGCTTTATTCAATGAAAAATTGAATGAAGAAAAACATCAATACATATATTAACTTAAATTATGATAGGAAAGTATATTTTATTGCCAAGCACTTCATTATTGGAGTCATTATTATTGCCAAAAAAAATAATTATTTATTTTGACATGAAAACTTGAAATATCTAAACTCACAAACGAAGTAATTATATAGACATGTAAGATGGGTTGAGTTTCTATAGGAGTTTAGGAGTACTATTTTGTTCTTAAATATTATGCTATAGTTGAAAATGAAACTTTTGATGATTTAAGTAGGGTGGTTGTTGTTTTACACAATGCAGGTGAGTAATTTTGATAATATTAAATATTAATATACAACATATTAGTAAGATATATTAGAATTTAAATAAGAACACATATGTGCTTAATAAATATTTCATGTTTGATGATGATTATTTATTTAACAGAACACACATTTGCATTCAGTATTACCATTGAGGTTGGTTTTTTTTCTCTAACTCAATTTGTATTTTGATGATGTTGTAGAGTATTTTGGTTGAGAAAGATCATAATAATGATTGACAATAAATATTATTGTCCTGATTGGTATAGAGATGTAACAAAAATATGGGGTTTAGGGTTTAGGGTTTAGGGTTTAGGGGAAATGATACTAAGTTTATACAATTTTTCCTATTCATCTCTGGGAAGATGTTAGCATAGACCTTGTGTTATGGATACCACTAACTCTTTAGAAAGCATGATTCCGTCATTATAATAGTACATTGTCATTACAAAATAGACCATTTCATTACGTTATAAAACTTTTGATGCTTCTCAAATGGGAATGTATAATTCACAAGCTATTCCATAAAAACTCCGTGAAAAAATGAGAATTCAGCTACTAATCGCCCACAAAGGATAAGCAAGCTAATAGTCAATAGAAGTTGCATGATCTACTGAGATGTATGAGTAAATGGCAATCAGGTTGGGATTTAATATTCCATATGGTTGAGTTTACATAAATTTCATGTATCAATAAGTTTACAAGCATAATTCCATTTTAAATAGTTAATTTATTTTAACCTTGAAAACTTGCATATCTTGTTAAATTTAATCTTAAGTCTCGGCTTAGTGAATTTACATAATAAATTACACAGCATATGCATGAATTGCATGAAAATATTCACAAGAACTGACAAGTTATTATGACAATTAACCAAGTTATGCTGATTTGAACAAGGGGAATATAAAATTCAAACCAAGCGATAAGAAAATGAAGCATTTGAAACTTAAAAAATTTAATGTAAGAACATTTAATAAATTAAAAAACAAAAAATCAAGGCCAATTTAGATTACACAGCTTATGCATGAATTGCATGAAAATATTCATAAGAATTAACAAGTAATTATAATGATTACACAATTGATGCTGATTTGAACAAGTGGTATATAAAATTTAAACCAAGCGACAAGAAAATGGTGCATTTGAAACTACAAAAGTTTTCATGTAAGAAAGAGCGTTTACTAAATTAAAGCACAAAAAGGTAGGCCAATTTAATTCATTCGATTAACTGAAACAAATATTATAAATTAAAAATTCTAGAGAGCTCTAGTATTAACCTAATCTTTTGTGACTTTATTTCATGGACCAGTAATTGACCAGTACCTTCAAATTTTTTTCTCTTCTTACCGCCTCCGTATGAATTCGCATGAAACTTAGAAAAGAATTTTGTGCATATTGTTCTTGAAGTTATTCTAGATGGCAAACATATATTCACTACTAATAATGGATTCCATTAATATCTTAAGCATTGGTGTGACTGACCTATTCTTGTTCATTCTTGCATTACATGAAAGAAATATAACAATTATGGCCTTCATGAATATCAAATATTAAACTCAAAAGAGTCACTGTTTTCCAAATCAACTAAATATCATAGAGATTTGAATATCTACACAGAGTCTACGCTCTTTAAAAAAAAAATATTGATATTGTACTTTGACATAAGAAAATTTGGAAAGTGAACACAGCTTTCATTTTTAATGTTTTATTTTGAACTTTTTTATTGAGCAATTTCTATTTTCAATTGTGGGTTCTTTGCATAAGAAATTCCTAGGATGCTCCCTATGAGAACAAGTTGAACATGTCTCTACGTTTTACAGAATATCAATTGTTTAATTCATCAAAGCCATCCTAGAATTTTTCAAGTTCGCAAATTGGCAGGAAACAAGCATATTCGGAACACATAACAATCCTGTTTGATTGCAAACCATCTACAACAAGGCCAACCACGAGCAAGAACCATGCAACTTATATTTTCAACAGCACAAAATATGAAAATCACATGCAATCCTTCCTTCTATTTCAACTTCATTGTTTTAGAGTTTTGTCATGTGTTTTCAAATCTCATGCTTATACACATAAACATAAACCTATCAATCTTTTGAAACAACCACTTTAGGATTTTGATACTTCTTAATAGAACAACTTGATTCATGTAAAGGGGCTTTTGGCTTAAAAGATTTTACATTCCATTAAATATCATGTAATTGCTAAATGTTGAATTTTTCTAGTGCAAAACAAGTGTGATAGCAACTATCCAAGGGAAATCATCACCTTTTACCAGCATAAAGTCTAATTTTCTCTATTTGGTGAATTCTTACCTTGCATTTTCATCTAAACTATCTGTAATTAGTAATAATATATGCTTGACTTTAATCAAATCTATTTATAGTCGGTATTCTAAATCATGGCGCAAACTTTAATCAACTTGTGGTTCCTAAGAATTTAAATTTCTGTTAATTCCTTTGATTCAAATGATCATTTGGTTTGCATTTATCATATTTTCAAGTTAAACTTAGAATAAGACAAACACTTGTTCTAATTGACGATCTTGAAAATATGAATTTCAAATCTAACGTGTGTGATTTCACGAATTACACATGCACTTGAATTAGGAAGCCGAAACAGTAAGGCTTTCTACATTTCATAAGCACAAACCAATATAATAAAAACCTAACTGATAAGTAATTTAATAGAAATCACCCAATTCACCTTAAAAAATTGATCATTCAACTCTCTATTCAACACTATCCCAATAAAATATTTGTTGTTAATTTTTTCAAAATACAATAAGTTATAAAATCACACAAAGTCCTAAAATTTTTTTCCCATTTCATTTTTTTCTTGCAAACATACAATATTGATTCTCTTTTTTGTGTTGTCCGCCAATTCTCTTATATTTCCATTCATGGTCCCCCAATTCTACAAAGGAAAACTGATCTTAGCTTTAAACCAAGTCAACCATCACTCACTTCTCTCAAACTTGAGTTAAATTGTGACATGTCATTTGCGGGTGTAATATGCAAATTTAATATTATTAAAACTAAAACAATTAATGCAGCTGAAATTTCAACCTATCTATGATGTTGGAAAAAAAATGATGATATACAAAACATTTTGAAATAACGCTATATAATAAAAATATCTCAGTTTCAAATGAACATGCTAGTAATCATCGTCACCATCACAGCCCAATTGTTTGAGGTCAACTTATAATCCTTCTACAAACATCCCATAGTATCCAAATCATCATAATATCACTTCTACTAAATGAGCCCCTTTAAATTTGTTCTAGACCATGTAAACCCTTTAACATCTGATTTAACACCACCATCTCTTACGAGTGGATTCGTGATCTTTCAACCCTTCATTTTCATGGACATGAAACTTCCAACTAGTTTAAATGGTAAATGTCTTGCCCAGCGATGTTGTATGAAGCTCCTTTATAGTTTGAAACTTAAAATTAATTTTTTAAAAGTTTTTTTTTTTTCCGAACACTATCAATATGATTACATTATATAAGGCAAATGAGAACGTGATATCAAGCATCAATTTATTTGGAATAGGATCAGAATCATTGCAAAAGAGACCTTAGCTTTTTATGTATGTAAAGGGAAAAACAACTTCTTGTGTAATATTCAATAGAAAATTTCACTAGAGAAATCAGTACAGTGAGTTAAGGAGCATTAAAACAAATATAATCCATTGACCATATTTAGGAAAAGTACCATAAAATGATATTTCCAACATCAGAGCAAAAGAATGATTGCACGCACCAGATAGAGAATAAATAAAAACGCTCAATCAATCAACAGAAAATATCTATAATGTAGAAGTAAAAATATAATAAAATTATTTAACTAACGGAATGTGAATGGTACCTGTAGTAAAATTTTAAGCCTCTCAAGTGGAGCAACAGCAGTCCTTGATCTGCAAGGCATTCATGCACTCAAGTTTAACATTTAGTAGAAATAAAAGGCTGGATTAAGTTAAAACTACCTCGTAAAACGAATATTGAAAATGCATGAATAAGAAAATTTCCAGCTTTAGTACATGCCCGTTAAAAGTAATCCATTTAAAAATGAACCGTAACAAGGATGGTGTTTATATAAACATCTCTAATAGAGAAGCAAATTATACACGTGCCTTTCTGATTATTTCTTAACGGAGTAATATGCCTTAACAAGGGTCAAGAAAAGAAAGCAACATTCTCTAAAACATCATAGATATAAGAAAAAGTGAAAACTCCCTCATATGTCCAACACAAATCAAATAAAATATTCTCTCAGTAAGCCAACATTAACTTAGTATAATGGAAAGCCTCTAAAAATTAAAATAAAAAATTAAAAAATTAAATAGCCAACTCCAAAAAATGTAAAAAAAAAAAAATTATGTAAGTTATCACCATAAATTGCATGGCTGTCCAAGAAGGACACTAACGTTAAACATTCATATAAGCTGATGGCCATAATCTACATTCTAAAACATCAAAGTTTCCATACCACACAAATATTGAGCTCCTAACATACCTAATGAATATTCTAAACTCAAACATAGTTCCTTTTTCTTCCCTCAAATATGGAGGAAATAGTTATTTATTTATTCAGCAGAAGAGCACAAGTTTACTATTTGCAGGAAATGTGACCTCAATCCACAAGACCTCCATCCAATTATCCAAACCCATAAAATCTGGAAAATTCAGAATTAGCTCTGCGAAAGTATTATTCATATCATGCTTCATAAATTTACCTCTAACTCCATTATGATGGAATTTAAACACTTCAAACTTCAAAGAAATTCACAAGCTAGCATTGCTAAAATTTCTACTGGCAGCAAGCAGCAGACATGCCATATTTTAAGTATTATCAATTTTATTACCATAAACAAACAATAAATGCAATTCTATAACAATAAACTATATTTGCTAATTCATTAAACTAAACAAGCCTAATAGGTAGTTCAAATAACAAAAAAATAAAACGTGCAGCTAGAAAAATATTTTTATATCAAAATACAATTTTTTTGGGTGAAAATTGGTGGCACATGCAAAATAGTAGTTAAAAAAAGCCAGAGCAAACTTCATGATCTGAACGAATTAATATGGCACTATAAAGATTAAAAAATCGGCCATTTTTTCTTCTTTAACTCTGCAAATCATTTTCAAATGCCAATGGGAACGGATTAATAGTTTAACATCTCAGGCCCCCAACCCTTCACACACCTACAAAGGGCAAACATTGGGTGCGTGCAGTCTATACAAACTCTTTTCACTTTAATGGGGTTTAAAAGAATACAAAACATAGAGATAGTAGAAAATGCCAATTGGAAGAATTTAGAAACGAGAAAACCATAAACTACATTAACATGACACTTATCAACAGTCAATATGCACATTTCAACAGCAGCTGCATATTAAAACAATTTTTAAATTCGCGAACGACCATTTTTAAAAAACCAGTTGAGCAAACAGCCATAGTGCAAACAACTGGCAATTCTGATTAAGAAATCAAATCCATTCAAGCATGGAAACAAAAGAAAAGGCTCAATGAGAAAGTTATTGCACGAAATGAACAGAACTAACACTCCTCCGGCGACACCTCCAGCCACAAGCGATTTGCAGACGCTCAGGATCGCGTGGCTCGGGGCCTTAACTCCTTCCCTCGCAAGCTTCGCCTCCTCCGCCAGGTTCACGATCGTCGTCACAGCGGTCTCCCCCGTGCTCTTTCCCACAACATCCTCTGTTGCCATGTAAAGCCCTAGAAATCACCAAGCACTTTCAGAGAATACCGGAAAGCGCGGTAAAATCTCAAAAACCTTCGAGCGGAGCGGCAAGGGGGAAAGAGATCGGAGCAGCCGGCGAGTGTCCTAGAAAAGATCCAAACCCGGCGATTTATATGGAAGCAGCCTCCACTTCGCGATACGGTGATGACGGCGACCGGAGGAATAACGATTACGGCTGGGTTGAACCAAAGAGCGGGGAATCAGAGTGCAGCTTATTGGCGGCGTTTGGTTTATATGGGATGGAGGTCAGACATGTTCTATGCTCGGCTCACTTGTGTGCGAAATGGAAACCTAGATCCGACGCACGTGCGTCCTAACCGGATAATAGCACCATGGCAAACAAACTACTTGCCCGTACTGCTTTTAAATTGGACAATAATAAACAGCTCGGAAGTATTATTCTAAAGTATAATCTACTTATACGATAATGGGATCAAAGAAGAAAGCAAATAATTCATGTTTTAAAAAGTATTCCTAAATTAGATCGAGAAAATATGGTGTTGGTGGAGATCATATGATCTTATTACAAATTACGATTTGCATGCATAACACTCAAACACAGGATATTCTTTTGAATTCAATTTTATCATGTGAGATAGAAATGCAAAGAGAGATTGAGAGCGAAGAGTAAATTTATTAGTACTTTATTATAGAAATGACCCCTGGTTATAGAGTCTAGGGGAAGCTAGTATCAAGTTACATGTTTATTATTATTTTAATTTGGACGTTGAAAGTTATTATTACACATTTTCATATTTGTACTCTTGTCATTCGGTCGGTTAATAGCCTTTGGTCGGCCGAAAGGTTGCCGGTCGGCGCTTTACCTGAAATCTTGACCATAGGTATACCATCGTAATCGAACAGGTAGTTCTCCTTTGACAAGGGGCATTGATCCACCTTAAAATTACCTAATTTTTATGTACATTTTATGCTCAATTTTTTAGGATATTATGCTTTAATGAAGGTTATTTTTATAATTTTGGTTGTAGATGCAAAAAAATGAGTTTAAGAGTAAAAAATTAGCAAAATATATATCAAAAAAGAAGCAAAAATGGGCTAAATAGAAGAAAAGTGTCAACCCAGGTGAACTGACGCCTAGGCGCCAGAGGCAGAACTTGGTTGGCACCTAAGTGCACTGATTGGTTAGGTTGGGGGGCATGGGCGCCACCGTTACTTTCTAGAAGATTCATTAAATAAGGTCAAATTTTGAAGAGATATCTGAAGCAACCCTTTGGTCATTTTTTAAGTTCTATAAATATGGATTAATTCCAAAGAGCTAGGGGGTCGAATTTAAAGAGTCTCATAGTGTGTGAGTGTGCTAAGTGTGTGAGAAATTTTCTTGGTGAATCTTGTAAGTGTTGTTGGAGTAAGAGAAGTCAGAAAACTTTAAAGCAGTGTTTGGGGGAACATTTCAAATAAGTATTTGTATCTTTATTCTCAAGTTTTGTACTTTGGATTTGAGTTTTATAAATATGTTTTGTTCTGTTACCCTCATGCTTCGTGAGTAGTTTTATTTTCTTTCTCCTTGCAATATGAAGTAATTAAGCAAGTGATTTTTGATTTTGTTTAGAACTTTTTTATTCCTAAAAATTGTGATAATATTTTTATCGGTCCTTTATTTACTTTGCAAATTAACTACTTGTATTGTTAAAACCTGTTGAGGAACTTATAGAGCCGAAAGGGCTAATGATCCCGGAAAATATAGTTGTGTAAAATTTATAAAGCAGACTCCGCTTTACAACGGTGCCAAAATCTTGATGTTGTATTTTATTAATAATAACGTTAAGCACTTAATGTTGGGATTATACACAAGTATATATATCGTTATCAAGTAATATAAGACTTTCTATTTAAGTACCAAATATCGATCCCCGAGGAAGGTTTAAATTTGAGATGATAAATTAACTAGAAAATTAACATAAATAAAACAAAATTTTTATCACTAATTTTGATTATTTTAGATACTATCAAAACTAAATTATTAATTACTAGCAAATTTTAAATGCAAAGTTTAAAACAGTAACTACTAAACTATATTTATATGATGAAGTTTTTTAATATGAAAAAGCATCATTTCCATTACAATGAGTTTTTGGTGAAATGAGATCAAATGAAAGGTTTAAATATGTATTATGCCAAATATGAGCAAATTTAATTATCTACCCTGATTGAGTGTTGTAGAAAATCATTGGTTAATCTTAGGTTTAGTCCCTAAATCTGTGGGTAGGCTTGGAGGATACTGACTCCCACTTTCCCCTGAAAGCTAACTCTCGCTTTAGTTCTTAAACATTAAGATCGAATTGGGGATTTTAGTCATCTTAAAAATCTCTAATTCTACACCCAACAATGTATATTTCCGTATTTATTAGCATTTAATTCCATGAACAAAATACTCTTTCGTGGACTTGAATGTGATTCTCACTCTGTTGCAGAACTCTTACTCCATTTTCTGGATCATATGTTTCACAACATATTTTAACAACTCAATTGGCCAGATTGAAAAGTAAATTCAGAATTGAGTTGAAAAATCATCACAATTTATTTTATATTTTAACATTGGCACATCCAAATTATCTCTTCATTTCACCATATCTCAGAGTAGTGAGAAAGATAAAGGAAACTACTCATACTTCATGAGAAAGATATAACAAAACACAAATTTCATATATAAAAGAAAGTTCATACAACAATAATAAACAAACAACATAAAAAAGATTTTTTATAAGATTTTACCCTTGTAGCCTCTCTTAGGAAATCTAAGAAAAGGAAATCTCTCATTTATCTCCCTCTCCAATACTCCTAGAGAAGAATTCACACATAAACTCACCACGAAAACAATTCACACTTAAATACTCTTAGAGAAGAATTCACACTTAAATTCACCACAAAAACTCAAAAATATAAAGAAAATAAATGACTAATGGTGTGGAATGGTGTGGAAGGATGCATAGTGGCAAAAAGGGGGGCGAAAAGATGCGAAGAGAGACCAAGAGAGATACTTTTCTAATCAATTTCGACTCTAAATAGAGCCTATGGTCGGTTTTCCAATAGGTGCATCCAAAAACTCTTCAAAAATCATCCAAATTAATTGAATCTCTTAGAAATAAGGTCTGCACCGACATTGGTGTCGTCGGCGCCAGTGTCCAGTAATTAAATCAGTGCTCTCTGTCAAACAGCGCCGTCGGTGCCCAGTCTGGCATTATCGGCACTGAACAATTTTCAAAAAATCCATTTTGACTCAAAATTCCATCATTTTTGCTTTCTTTTTGCTTCAATTCCTAAAATCAACAACCAGCAATAAAACATGAAAAATGCATTCCTTTATAGTGCAATATCACCAAAAATGAGTATAAAATAAGGGTCTAAAAATGCATATATTTTTTGTGTATCAAAATCTCCCAAACTTAAATGTTACTTGTCCTCAAGTAACTCCTTTACTATGTAAAAATATGACTCATGGTAAAGATTTTAACTTCTAGATTTTCATATTTTAGTCCACTAAATACAATAGTATAACTTAAGAAAAATGTAAAATAACTCTAGTTAATACTAAAGGTATAAGAATATCTAGCAGTCAATTCTAAGATTTCTGATCCTATATTATTTTCAAGGAAAATTGCAATTTATTCATATTAAAGCCACTTAGAATATCCATATGAAAAAAAAACTTCATGAAACTTTACTAGTAAATATGCTAATACTGAAATATAAGTTTAGAAAATGTAGTTAAGCCTTCTTCTTTAAGTTGATTCAAGTGAAGCCAATTTTAGTTAGGTATCTCCTCAAGCTTCTCCTCACATCTTTTTATTTTCTTTTCTTTTTTTCAGGATCATTTTCAATCATTTTTCTTTTCTTTTCTTTTCTCTCTTTTTTCTTATGTGAGGATTATTATATTTGGATAGTCTTTAATGATTTTGAACTTCAATATCCTCTTCTTAAAGTTAAAAATTTTTCACATTCTTTCACTTTATAAATTTATATTAGCCTTAAATATTTTTCTTAAAGTTTTATTATTTTTTTCTTACATGAATTTATAAGATTTTTAATACTTCAAAAATACAAATTCCTTTACTTACAATAGAAAAACATAGTCTTAAACTATCATACCAAATATCTTAATCTCTAAAATTAACCTTCATTATGAAAAAATTTTACTTCAGTTTACTATATATTTAGAAACACAAATATAGTTATCTAAAGTTACCCTCTAATACCAAAGGTCGCGTTAAATTTTAAAATATTTTGAAAATATAACTAATTGAGGACAAATAAAATTAAGTTTCTTTTCTTTAAAAAAAGAATTTTTCTCCCCCCCCCCTAGAAACTTAAATTTTTAAAATATTTTTCATTAAAAACTGAAAAAAATAAAGGGTGGAAGAAAACATTTAATACATAAAGAAAAGATCTACCTATTAAAGGGTCTGATTTGAAACTTAACTCTGAAATATTGCAGGTGCTAATATGAAAAGCTACAAGACTTAAAACGTTAAATAACACATAATACATATAAAAATTTGCTGAGAAAGAGTTAACTACAAATACATTTAACAAAATACTAAAAACTAACAATAGTACTAAAATGATTTCCAATGTAAAAACAGCTTCATAAATCTACTGTTCACAATACAACATAATATTTAAAATAAAGTGTCACACTCTAAAAAAACAAACAAATAGTCACAACAATACAGTACAATCAAACATAAACTAAAAAAAAAAAATTTAACTAAAACATCACCAATCATCATCTTCTTCTTCTTCTTCTTCCACATCCAAATTTTGCTGCTGATATGGGGTAAAAATAAGGTGAGTAGGAAACTGAACTGAGTGATCGCCCCTCATGTATCTGAACATTGCATCATCATAAGCAGCATCTTATTCAAACTTTTGTCTTGTCAAATCATCATTGTGTGCATTTCTGGCCTCCATATTTTCCATTCTACTTTTCATTCTCAAGATATCTCTCTATTGGATCATCATCTGCTCCTAAAGTTCCTAGATAGTAGGGGTACTAGAAGTAGTACTTAAAGTAGAAGGAATATTCCTGATCCTACTTCCATATCTCCATATAACATGAGATTCATAAGTTTTTATATTGGCAGGCCCAATTGGTTTTAGAGGTTCAATCCTCTTCTTATCCATTCTAAAATCAACTCCTGCTTGTTCACATAGTGTGAAGATCAGGGCAGGGCGTGCTAAACCACCAGTAGTCTCTCTAAAGCAATATATCGAGTGATTATATAAATAATAGAGCCTACATCTATCCTTCTCATCTGCTGGATACAGAAGTTCAAGATGGC